AGGTCACCAGCACTCAAAAGGTTTAAAGATGAATAAGTCCTTTTTATTGGACCATGGTGTCACGACAATCGAAAAAAGCCGACGTTTCGGGGCCACGCAGGGTCCCTTTCTCAAGGCAGAAAATGTCACATTTTCTGCCTTGAGAAAATGTCACTTTCTGCCTTGAGAAAATGTCACATTTTCTGCCTTGAGAAAGGGACCCTGCGTGGCCCCGAAACGTCGGCTTTTTTCGATTGTCGTGACACCATGGTCCAATAAAAAGGACTTATTCATCTTTAAACCTTTTGAGTGCTGGTGACCTATTTCTTCCACTGTTCGTTTTGCACGGTGCCATCCGTGGAGTTACTGCAAGCACCATCCCTGTGCACTGGCCGGGATTGCTGAAAGGTGTGCGGAGAGCACCCCTACCCTACTGCAACTGTGCTAACGTATGACTTTTCCTTGTGAATAGCAGAAGAATGTTGATTGACAAGAAAGGCATTGCAGGGGTTAGGGGGAAAGGGGGGGGGATATCAGGGTTGCTTCACCAATCTGATGCAACAACCTTGCTTTTCTTCAAATAAAGCACAACTATGACCACCAAAAAAAAAAAAAATGTAATGACCACCTCCCTTCCCACCTCCCCTTTGTCTCTCAGCAATCTGTTCCTGTTTCTTTAAAACAAAGGTTTGAACTTGAACACCTATGAATACTTTCCATAACCCCCACTCCCATAATCTTACACCCCACTAGTTCTGTTTATATCGTCCGGTCTGTTGAGGCCTCTCTGCGGACGGTCTTGGCGCTGCCCCTCTAAGTCCAGAGTCTGGTCCAGGACAGGATACCGGGGTATAGGAAAACACAGTCTTGGCTCCCCATGTATCCCCACATAATTTGGAAATAGGTCTCTGGGGTCCTCTTGATCCATGGAGCACAAACAAAGGGTCCCACACACAGCCCAAAGCACCATGGCAGGCCCCTCTCCCAATCAATACAACTCCCCCCACAGCCAAGGCCCATAGTCGGTGGGAAGGAGGCAGGCCTGCAGTCCCCTCCAAATAGCAGAGTAACGGAGGCTTCCGTCACACACCTCCCTTCCCACCTCCCCTTCATCTCTCAGCAATCTGTTCCTGTTTCTTTAAAACAAAGGTTTGAACACCCAGGAATACTTACCTTAACCCCCACTCCCATAATCTTACACCCCACCAGTTCTGTTTGTATTATCGACAGGTCTGTTGGAGCCTCTCTGTGGACGCTGCCCCTCTCGTCAACACCATCATGCCCACACTGTATTCAGTGCAGGACCAGTGTCCACTGGATCAGGTTGGGATGTTGGCGCTGACGAGGTACCCATCCACACAGGATCAAAGGACTGGGATGCCAATTGTAGTGGGACCACAGATTAGGGCAGGTATGTGTGTTAGAAACTTTTTTTTAAGCCAGAGGGTCAGCATAAAAACAAGGCAAATAGAATTCTCAAAAGTAGGTTAGCAGTGATTGGCTCTATATATTATAAATTTATTTTTGTGACATGACTACCTTCCTCCAGGGCAAAGTAAGAGGGTCCCTTAACTGGCTGCCTCTCCATTAGGGATGAGCGACTCCCTAGGGTTCAGTTTGAAACAGTTTTGTGAACCTTGTTAGAAGTTCACGAAAGTAAAAATAAAGTATCTTTCCCAAAATTGGCAGTTCTCCCTAACAGTTCCAACACACATTGGCAATATGACCCACCGTTTTATAGAGAGGGGGCTAGACTATCCATTCCTTTAAATGACTGGCTCTCATGACTTAACTGACCTGGGGCAAAGGTTATGCACTGCATTATAGTCGCGAACTTCAGGAATCCCGAGGGTTTGTCACCCAGGGTAGTGGCACTGGCAAACCCAAGCCTTATTCCTACTCTCCACCCAGCAGGGAAAGCCCTTTGTAGGCTCCAAAGCAACTTCAACCTAAGAGAAAGGAAGGGTAAGTATGTGCTACTGGAATGGGGCTGAGAGATTAATTGACCCTTTTCCCCTGCCTTTTGTGGCTCAGTGATGTTTTCCTGTCGGCAGAGATGGCTCCCTTGATGGACTACAATCTCATGGTCAGCAAATTTGTATTGTGATTATAGTCTTTCATGGGAGTGAGCTTGGAGCAGTGGCCACTTCACAAAACAGACAGGGACCATGTGGAACAAAAGTAGCCCCCCTGCAGAAGGAAGGACAATGTCAGCCCCAATACAGAGATGATTTGAGGATCTATAGCCGAGTGATACACAAATAAGGTCGGTTCTTGTTAATAGTTAAGGTACTTGAATGCGTTTTTAAGATTTAGCTCCTGAATTTAGTGTCACTTTAAGCGAGGCAGGCTCAACTACCTTTCTTCTTTCAGGAGATCAAAACATCACTATATTACTGTGGATGACAGCAGCCTCTTCCAATAGTGAACTTCTGTTCATATGCTTGATGATGTAAGACAAGTCAACATAGGTTGATAAGGAAGACAACATTTTGCATCACTTTTCCAAAAATACACTAAAGCAGAAGTCATTATTAATGGACTACAAATGCAAGGCAAAGAACCAAAAAATACAAATGACCCTTTCTTTGTGCGTTGATGACCGCTACTTTCATTGTGTGTTATGGAGCCGTCCGGAAAGAATAGCACTGCAAACACATCACAAAAAAGTGCTGCATGTTACCTTGCATTGCACTAACATGAGCTAGAAGCATGTTTTACTGCGTGTTACCGCAACATGTGAGTCTAGATGAACATGAAGGCTTGCCAAACTGCCTTCCCATGCTCTTCTGCATGAAACACATCAGAGGTGACCCCTGCTTCTATTCAATAAATAAGAAAAGTTGCTGCAGCCCCGGAGTGCACCAATTCCTCTCCTTTTCTATCGGATTAGCTGGAGTGCAAGGAGCCAGACCAGCACAATGCAAACTCTGTATATAGAATTTCATTTACCGTGATCAGTACATTCACCTTTGTAAGCTTATCACGATATTAGTGAGAGTCTAAAGCCTTATAGCCATTATAATTCCACCCAGACTTTTACTTTATACCCATGGGTACCTAATTCACATTATGAGCTATGTTAGATGGATTTAAAAGTACCAGCTTATTAACAATTTATGATGCACAGAGCACCTCAGGCGATGTCAATGAACTGAACAGCCGTGTGGATGCTGATAAATGTTCGGCTGCATATGTTGATATGATTATACTTTTTATTAGGCTGTCATTTTGGAAAATGTTAACCATTTCAATGAAATAAATTACTGTTTAATGTGTCTGCATGCTTTTTTTTGACAGGTGCATGTACAGACACTTGAGCTTTTGTTCTTTTACCACTCCAACAAGTCATGGTAAAGTAGACTGGGAATGGGAAAAAAACATGCCCTGGGATATGGGATATTTTTTGCTGTGCTTCTGTTGTCTCTACAAATTAGCATGATGTAGATGAGGTGTTGAGCATAGACACGTGAGAGCTAGGTACTAATGCGCATTCTGCCCTTGAAAGGTAAACAAATTGGCTGATTTTATTTAATGGTTTCAACTGTCCTTCATTTTAAAGCTTCATCCTGCTCTGTCTGCCAAAAACATAATTTTTTGTTGGAAGGATTAAAACCATTGTCAGGTTTTTACTACTTTACAAGGATCAGTTTTCCCTTCCCTTACTGAGGCTGATCGATGATGTTGAGAATCTTCGCAGAGTAAATTGTGTGAATATTCATTAAGTGCAAAGCAAATTTCCGATTACCTATTTTATATTTACATGATTGCATAATTGAAGTGAACATTCACTCAATATAACGTGGAAGATTCTCAATTCCTTAGTAAATCAGCCCAGCTGTCTCAATGACTACAGTTACACCAGACAAAACGTGGGAGAAAATATGCAACAGGTACACAGGGAGCAATAAATAGCTGACAGGTGATCCAGACTTCTAATGATCTTAACAAAAGCATTTTTCTTTCTGCCTGTGTTGCTGTTTGATATTTTTCCTCAGTTAAGTCTGATGAAATTATTGTTCTTTTGACAAAAGCCTCAGACAGTTGTAAACACCCTAAAAGTGCTCTAATCCTTCCACACCTATACAAAACTGTCTGGTACATGCACTTTAAGTGGACTGACATTCTTTAAAGTGAACCTGTCCTGTTAATTATGTGTGGTTGCAAAAGGTGCACGCAAGATCAAAATGCACCTTCAATAACTTGTTGCATAAAATTGTGTTTTATCTGTACTCCCATTGCACACCCAATTCCTTGTGTACAGTCCACAGAAACCTATATTTCAGCTTCAACTTAGTGCTTTGCTATGCCCCCCACTGTCCAGTAAGAACACCATTATTGGCAACTATGGTTCTGTATTTAAATTGTAAGGGCATGGCAGTGCTCTAAGTCAGAGCAAAAGTTGAATCCCAACATGGGCAGTGTGCCCAGGGTCAGGGGGCTCCCCAGGTGTGCACAAACCTATACTTGAGATATGACAGGTACATGAAGGCACCTTTAGTTAATGTAGTTAGTGTCTACCCTTCACTTACATGACCTCTTCCCTTTCACAAAAGAGTATTGTAACCATCTTTGTATTCTTATAATAGCTATTATTGTATTGAAGCATTGGTGTATAATTGGAATCATTGTTAAAAGGTGCATTACTGTGTGCGCTTATGCTAGACAATGGACGTAAGTTGGTAATCCCTGTTAGGAAGTAATTAGCTGGCTGAGGTCACATTGTGTGATTAAACAGTAGCATTTCTTATGAAACCCAATTATTTTGGCAATACGTACAGTTAAAGGAAGCGAGCACACGGTAAAGAGAACGGTCATGACTGCCAAGAGGATAAGATGATCCATCTCTTCCATTCCTGCTTGCTTAACAAATTCCATCTTCACACCAGATTTAAAATTCCTCTGGCTTTGAATCTGGTACATTTGGTAAAGGCGTCGCATTATAGCCGCATTACAGACGATGATGGCCAAAACAAAAATTCCCATAATGGTTCCATAGAGAATGGAATAAGCCAAGACCTCGGGCTTTGAACCCTCAACAGACATCTGAATGAAGCACCAAGTTCCAGGACAATACTGCTCAAATTTGCCGATGCCCACAAAAGGCAAAGAGCAGAACCCAGCACTGAAGATGTAGACAGCGAGAGGAACCAACAGACCGACCCGTTTAGTGATGTAGTTGTGGTAGAAGAACGGGTAAGCGAGGGCAATCCAGCAGTCTAGACCCATTGCCAAAAGAATGAGCATCGGTGCCAAGCCAAAAAATATCATGAGGAAGCTGAAAATGTCACAGAGGTTTCGGTTTCCGACCATCTCCACCAAGGTCTCGTTTTTGGAGTAGGCGGCAAGAACCATTGGGCTGACCAAGCATTTTCCCATGAGGTTGGTTATGGTCAATCCAGTGACCAAAATATAAAAAACGGTGGTTTTCTTCTTTACTCTCAGCTTGTGTTGCCATAGGATAAAAATGGCAAGTGCATTCCCTATTACTCCAGCGGCAAACAGCAGGATGCCCGGCAAGACCGAGTAGCTACCTTGGATAGCCCGGCTATTGGAACAAGGATAGAGATCCATGTGAAAATTCAACACGGTGATTAAATTTGTCCTGCAGCCAAAAGGAGGCAGCAAAGAATGTCTGTGAGTACCGGACAGCTCATCTGTCTGAAACGTTCTGCTCTTGAAGTGCCTGAATGGTTCAGCTACTAGCATGTCTGAAGGAGGTGGAGAAAAGCAATCGACATGTAAAATAAATAGGTTTAAACAAGGCGTATCCTATTCTACTGACAGGCTGGAGCCAAGCCAAAAAAGTGAAGTTGACAAAGAGGAAGTATTGCAAATCGAACAAGGCGAGTTTTGTTGGTCATTTTCAAAACCGTAATATTATTAAAGTGCAGCCACAGTTAGAGGATTTGATTGTTTTTCTCAATGAAGGAAAATGCGTGAGATAAACTCATGTTGTCATATGAAGGCAGAACAGCTGTGAGGCATTAAAAAATATATACTTCCCACAGTATGAATTAGAGTCTGCTCACTGAAAATGGTATTTGTGGTATTAAGACAGGGCTGAATTAAAGCCAAATTTAACCATTCCAGTTTAAATCGGCTAAATACTTTCCAGGTGCATCAAAACAAAAGGTGTGCAAAAAACATACAGGGTTATTCACAAAAGGGTGAAGAGTTTGGAGACGGCTGGAGAAGTGAACAATCTAGGACAACATAGCTGAACTGGAAAGTGAGCTGAATTGGAGAAGTTTTCCATATCACCTATGTTGTCCTAGATTGTTCACTTCTCCCACCTTCTTCAAACCCCTCACCCTTTTGTGAATAACCCTGATAGTTTGTTTTCTTTCTAAAGCAGCCACAGCCTGAGTAGAAAGCCTGTCCCCTGCTAGCATGCTGCAAAGAAGGATCCATGATCAGTAGCAGTGATCTATTTGCAGAGGTCCAACATGACCCTTACTGAGTCAGAGCTCAAGCTCTCCAATCAACAAAGCTCATGCCCCTTCTGATTGGTGAACTCCAGCTCTGACTCAGCAGGGGACATGGTGTACCTCTGAAGAGAGAACACTGCTTCCACACAATCAGCAAGGGTCTCAATCTGCAGCTGATGTCAGGGGACAGGCTTTTCTACTCAGGCTGTGGCTGCTTTTAAAAAAAAAAACCTATAGGACTATGCATGCACACCTTTTTGTTTTGATGCACTTTCAATGTATTCAGCTGATTTTAAACTGAAGGTTCAATTGGCTTTTGATCCTTGGGTGCAAAAGTGGTAAAGGTCTCTATACCCCGTTCCAAGTTCTGCCTACGTGTAGCAGAGATACACTATATTGCCAAAAGTATTGGGACGCCGGCCTTTACACGCACATGAATTTTAATGGAGGGACTTACCTCTTAATTTGATCATCTTCTTCTTTACTGTCCTTTTCAGCTGTCCCTCCAGCGCTGGTGCAGGTCTCCGATCCAGCGCTGACTCCTCTGTCCTCCTCTCCTCTGACGTCCCACGGAGTCTGTGCGGGTGCACGCTGCTCCATAGACTTACCTTGTGTCTCTCCTCGTCTCCCGGCCGAACATCTGAAGTGCGCATGCGCCCACCCCAATATCCTTTACGGCCGCCCGAGACTCTTCAGATGTTCGGATGGGAGCGCGTGGCGAAGACACAGGTAAGTATAAACCCTTTTTAAAAGTTTGGTGTTTTTTTTTTTATGTTTTTGCATATATCTTCTGCTTGCTAGAGTTAATTGTTAGGACCATGTGAAAGGTAAGGGATCTGTTTTACACACTTTTATTAACACTTGTGTTCAACACTGAGGGCCACATACAAACAAATGCACTTTAAAACCACCATACCGCTGGAGATGTTATTATGTGCATGCATGCATAAAACCTTCTTGGTCATCACTGCATCTGTACACAGAAAGACTCAAGCTGAAAAACTTTCAGTTTGTGCTAGGAGTCAAGTAAAACGTATTTTGTGCTGATCATAATATTCCCATTTATTTATTCCTGTTTTTTTCTCAGTATAATTTACTCTCCTGTTATATGCTAGCCAGCAGCCTTACAGCGTTGTCACCGCGGTCCGGTTCCCTGTGTGTGACAGTTATACAATGTTGCCACATACAACAATGCCTTTGTGCAATGCAGTCATGGTTGCCGGGGTCGAACAGACCGCGGACATCCCATAATGTTCGGCGTTCGGCGAACGCTAGAACATGCAATGTTCGAGTCGAACCTATGGCCGACTCGAACATGCAGCCCATCCTTAATGGATAGGTTTGCCGTGCACAAGCAGCCTATTGTAAGGCTATAGCTGGGAGTTTGCGCGCTACTGCGCATGCGCGGGTCCCAGTCTTGTACACCCTAAATTCTATTTTCAGTACATTTGGCATCATTATTATTATACAGGATTTATATAGTGCCAACAGTATAACATATGGGGAGGCAGTACAATTACAATGCCATACAAACGGATTAGAAGGATCCTACTCATGAGAGCTCACAATCTACAAGGCATCATGTCTCACTGTATGCAATGCTTTTTATCTGTTGCACAGTTTCTTCTCAGTAACAGCACTTCCTATTGCAGGCTGACCACGCCAAGCCCCTTGGCAGTAGCATTGTCAGTCTGATGTATGAATTCCTTTAGCTTATAGTTGGGCTGCCTCTCAGGTCTGTCAGATAGGCAGCCCTACAGCCAACTGATTACATGGCAACACTGCTGCTAATTGTGAGGCAATTTCTGCTACAAATGCTACAGTGATCACAAGCTGTTGATGCCTTTCTGTAAAGAAGGATTCTTTAGATCCAGGATTTTTTTGGATTAACCCTTTCAGTGGAGCTACCCCCACACTGCAAGGTTCAAAGGAGAACTATGGGGTCAGGGCTTTTCCCCATAGTTCTCCTAAGGGTAACGGGAGGACACAAACTAGCGTCCTTCCGTCACCCTAAGCTCAGTATACCGCGAGCTACAGCTACTACATTACTGTCGAGATCCACCCAGCTGCAGGATTGACAGCTGGCTCTGCCTATCTAGAGGCAGAGCCAGCTGTGCCCGCCCCCTCCCCCATCCGTTCCGCCAGTCAGCTCTGGAGGATCGGACAGGGGAGGGGGGGGAAATCCCTGCAGGGAGCCGTCAGTGACAGTCACGGCTCTCTGCAGGGATAGATCGAGAAGTGAGCGAGCGACGCTATGTGTTCGCTCACTTCCCGATCTATTGAGCCGACCTGTGACAGTCTCATTGTCACAAGTCTGCTAGAACTATGAGGCTGAGTGATTTTCACTCGCCTCATAGTTCTCCTTTAAGCGCTCATTTGTGTCTAGGTTAGAAAAGAAAGTTATACTCACCCAATGCTCTGAGGCGGCTTCTTCTCAGACCGATCCTTCCAATGTCTCTCCCCCTCCTCTGCAGCAGCCTAAGGTCCCATAAATCATCAACGCCTATATACAGTGGGGGGAATTAATCAAAGCAATTGGGACAGTTTTAGCCTCTTAGATAATTTTTTTAATGTGCAAATCTGTCTTTTAACATGTGCCCCTGTTTTTTTGGGGGTTTTTTGTCTTAAAGGAGACCACATGTACCCCTGTTTTGACCAGAGCTTGCACTACTTTTCCAACTGCACGTTTTTTGCACCTGTTTTCATCTGCACTTATTCTGGGGCTGTATGAAACTGGAGCATTACCTAAGAAAAAAATCACAATTTAAGTCCCCATGACCACTTCTTCAAGAAGTGACAGTCAAGGTTTTTGCCCGGAGTTACAAGTCTTCTTTCCTGGAGTCTATTAAGTAGACATGTGCACTGCCAAAAAATTCGTTTAGTTTCGTTTCGTTTTAAATTCGGATTTGTGTTATTTCGTTTTTCAGGATTCGGGTGTGAAAGTCAATTCGGATTCGGAATTCGGATTCGGACGAAATTCGGTAGCGTTAGTACGAACGTTCGTTTCGTTTTCTGTTCTTATTCGTTTCTTATTCGTTTCGTTCGTTTGCAGCAAAAGTGACATTTGAGGGGGGAAAAATATTTTTCTCCTTCTCTAATGTCACTTTGCTCCAACGAACGAAACGAATAAGAACAGAAAACGAAACGAACGTTCGTACGAACGCTACCGAATTTCGGAAATGGAAATTCGGATTCGTTTGCATTCGTTATGTCTGTAATTCGGAATTCGGATACATCCGAATGTCCGAATTTCCGAAAATTCGTCCGAATTTTGATTCGGAACGAAACGAATCGCACATGTCTACTATTAAGCCTCATTAATGAACAACATTACACTAGCAACATAAATCAGGTGCAAATATATTCCGTGCAAGTTCAAACACTCGCAATTGCTATGATAAATTCCCCCCAGTGTATAGACACGAGGACGCTGAGTAAGATTCCAATGCTGCTGTGGAGGGGCAGAGAGAGCCCTGTGACAGCTGGCCAGCACGGAGGTTCAAGTGAGTCTAACTTTTATTATTCTTGTCCCTAGAGACATCTAGCACTTAACCGTTGCAATGGGGGGTATGTTTTCCTGGCGTTCTTCTTTAAGGTCCTCACTCACCTCACCTGCCGGTCCTAACCATAAGTTCTGGAGATGCATCTGAGTAACCAAAGGCTCCAGAGGGCATAAAATGGAAACCATTCAACCATTGGTAAAGTAATACATGCCAATAAAGCCATGACAAAAAAGGGGTAAGAAGAGCATGTAGGTGGCAGCTTAGCAGGAGAGTAAAGGACTCTACAGTCCCACGACAAGCCTTTACTTTTGCATATAAAGCCCATTTATTATTATTAATAATAATAATATATTTTTGGTGTGCATGTGTGTTATATGTTTCTTTATATTTCCACATTAGCTGTATGTGAACAGAGCTATTCCAAATCATATCTCATCTCATGTCTCTTCCGGAGAAGCTCAGGAGCCGGATTTGGGAATCTTAGAGCATCTCCGGAGCCTGTGTTTCTGGAGTTGAGTGTTTTATTAGTAAGCCTGAAGCTAAGGCTCAACTGCTGGAGCCACCGCTGAACCAGAACTAGCAAACATGAAGCACTGCCAGCCCTAATACATTATGAAGACATTATGAATACATTATGGAATATAGAGTAAGACGAGTGTTTAGGGCTATGAGTACAAAGAAGGCAGCATGCCCGGATTATGTTCCAGGGAGAGTAGTTAGTTCCTGTGGTGATCAATTATCTGGAGTTTTTACTAAGCTCTTCAATATCTCATTA